TGAATCATTTCCCGTTTTTACCATTTTCTTTCCAAATTTTGACTATGAACTCTGTATTGAAACTGCATTTTTTCAACATCTGCCAAAAATAGCGCAAATTCATATATTGTTTTCCTGTTCCCCCAAATATTTAATGTTTTAAAAAAGTTATGATAGTAGCCTTACTTTTAAGGAATAAAACCAATTTACAGTTATCAAGTGTCACATTAAAATTGGTCCATGATTTTGGTTAAATGTGTCCTGATTATCTGGAATTTCAAACATAGACTTGAAGTTTTCCTATTTTTATAGTGTAATAGCAATGTAAAGAGTATTATCAAAAGTCAAATGCAAAAAGATTTAATATAGACTTGTACCTGAGCTCACTCACATCTTTCTACAATTATACCTTCAACAGAGATCTCATTTCAGCACAACATCATTTATCAGTTGGAGTTGGGTTTTTTTGGTGAGCAAGATTGGCCCTGACCTAACATCTGTTGCCAATCTTCCTCTTTTTGCTTGAAGAAGATCGTCACTGAGCTAACATCTATGCCAGTCTTCCTCTATTTTGTATGTGGGATGACACCACAGCATAGCTTGATGAGTGGTGTGTAGGTCTGCACCCAGGATCCAAACAGTGTACTCTTTGTGTGTTTTTGCATTAACTAGGGGATCCCAGAAAGTTAGAACATTAATAGAAATATAAATCCAAAGGCAATTTATAAATTGAATGCCAAAGAAATCTATGTAATAAAAACTCAAATTGGGAGCCTGGCCCGGTGTCATAGTGGTTAAGTTCATGCGCTCTGCTTCAGCGGCTTGGAGATTGCAGAATTTCTAACAGTTATACCTATTTAAGTAAAATTTAGGATTAAAAATTTTAATCCAATAGCAAATATTCAAAGAACTATTTCCCTTTAAGGGATCCATAAATTACTCGAATTTGAGAAACCCTGGTGTGAGGTTAAAAAAAAGTTCCTTGTTGCTATTGCATGTTTTTAGGCTACGTGTGTGTGTGTGTGTGTGTGCGCGTGTGTATGTGTATTTGCCTTTTATATCAATGGGACCATCCCATACATGTTGTTTTGTAACTTGAATTTTTAATTAATAATATGTCACAGATCTCATTCTTTCTAATGCCTATAAAGTATTCCTTTACATGATTGCTTAGCCAGCCCCTCATTAGGATATTTTTGTTCTTTCCATATTTCGTGTTCTCATAAAGAACATTGAGATGAATATCATTGTTCTTTTTGGAAAGTTGCAGGGTAATTTCATAGAAGTGAAATTTCTGAGTCAAAGAGAATGCACACTTAAAGTTTTGATAGATATGGCTCAATTGCTTCCCAAAAAGGCTACATCAATTTCTTACCCATAGAGTATGGAAGTTTTGCCACACTATCACCAGTACAGACTATCATAGAACTTTTAAATATTTGGAAATCTGATGGTTGAGAAGTAAGAATTGCATGAAAGCTGAGTTGGTGGTATTCCATGTTTCAAATGTACATAGATGCTGCTGTTATTGTTGAAATACCAAATCATTTCAAAGTGTAATTGCATTCATTTCTCTACTTATCCCTAAGCATTTTTTCAATCAATAGATACTTAAGCCACTATCCTGCAGACGTTTATGATTTTGTTTCTTTCAAGAAAGGGTACTCATGGTAAAAAATGTTTGGAAGCCTACGATATTTGGGGTTCTTGTCTGCATGAGAATATTCCCCAATATAATGCAGAGAAAATGACAGAGCGGGGCCTGGTATGGGGCAGTCCTGGCAACTGCCCTTTCTCTTGTATTGATACAAATACCATCCCAGCTGCCTCTGGATTAAAAGAGGTCCCAGGAAAGATGGGATCTCTCTCTGAGAGGAGGTTTTTCTTAAATAAGGAATAAAAGTATCTTTTGTCTTTTTTGTTTCCAATTTCCAGAGTCTTAATTGCCACTATTGTGGAATTAGCATAAGTAGACAATATCTTAAAAAAAAAATATGCCAGGCCCAGTTCATGTATCCAGGTGACCTGGAAGCCATGCTCAGTTCGTGCCACTCCACTTGAAGTCCTTTGATGGCAGTTGATGTGCCCATTTCATCCTTGCATCCCCCAGTGCCTGGCACACAATTGAGTGAATGAGTGCTATCATGAGCACACACGCACGCTTGTAAACCTGTGCAGGGTGGCGTGCTTTCTAATGCCTTTCTCACCCTCACTCTTAATTGGGTTTTAGTCTTTAGAGAAATCCTCTTAGAAATGACTGGTATAGGTGCTTCCAATTTAGACTTTCACTGGAATAGGTGACAAAATATTTGAAAAAATGAGTACAAATTCTCTCTGAAAATACAACTAACTGACTTAAAAATGAAGTTTCCTGGGGCCGGCCCCATGGCCCAGTGATTAAGTTCACCTGCTCTGCTTTGGGGGGTACAGGGTTTCACCAGTTCGGATTGGGTGCGGACATGGCACCACTCATCAAGCCACGCTGCGGGGGCATCCCACATGCCACAACCAGAAGGACCCACAACTAAAAATATACAACTATGTACCGGGGGACTTTGGGGAGAAAAAAGGAAAAATTAAAAAAAAGAAAGTGAAGCTTTCTATTGCAAGGGCAGAATATAACCTCCTACTCTGGTTCAGTTGACACAATTCCAAAGAGAAAGTTTATACCTCTGTTAGTGTTGTGGAGACTGGCTTAACCAGTTACCAACTCTACTAGTTACCTTCATCCAGAGTGGAAAGCTTTGATTACTTATAGAAACTCTGTCACTAAGAGAAATGTCAAACACCACATTTCTGAAGAATTTGAAAACTCCACAATTTAGGAGACAAAAATAAAAAGCAAATCTAACAACGGCCAATAAGAGAAGTCTCTCTGCAGTATTACCTGACCTCTCTTGCTTTTCACTTCCTTTAAAATTTTTTTTAAAACTGAGATATAATTCACATACCGTAAAATTCACCCTTTCGAGTATACAATTCAGAATTTCTTAGTATATTCACAATGTTGTGCAACAATCACCACCATCTAATTCCAGAATATTTTCATCACCCCAAAAAGAAATCCCTTACCCCGAGTCCTGACAACCACTGATCTACCTTCATTTCCTTTTACTTATGTCTAGTTGATAGTGCCTCTAGCATTGGGGAGGCAGTGGTCATCAGCATCACAGGCCTTGAGAGAATTCTGTTTCCCAAGATGCTTTTCTCTTTCTGCCCCATCAGTACATACTATTGATCAAGTACGGAAATCTCAGGATTCTCTGTAGGGCAATTACTTTTTTTTTTTTTTTTTTTTTTTTGGTACCAAAACATTAAATGAAGTTTATTGGTTTCTGCCAATGTTTTCCACTTTATAGTAGCATATATTCTTGTAACCTGTCTCATTGTGGTGTAAGGCAGAAATGAAATATATAAAACAAAAATAATATGTCTTACAAATATTTGACTGTTCTTTAAAATACTAAAATAACTTTCTGATAACATTCTTTCCATAGTATAGATATTAATTTTGTTCATTTAACAAGGATGTTTAATGCTGACTATGTTCTGTTATTTTAGGATTTTCACTAAGCAGACGCACACCCAGTTTCTACAGGTGAAATCAAGTCAGTCATCTAAAAACCTCATAATTTCCAATCAAATTAGAGTCTTCTGTTTCCAGTAAAATGGAATTTATGGTGGTGCTAATCTGAGTTAGACTGTGTCGGCAGAAAACGACAGAAGTTGATTTTTTTTCTTAAAACTTTCTGCACAATGAATAGAGAATTCTCAGATTTGTAGTTTATTTTACATTCTCTGCATGTTCATCGTATTAAGTTGACAATCAAAATCAGTGGCAAAACTTTTCCTATCTGGCCTGTCTTGTCGTACTAGATTGAGAAGTTGGTATGTGTGCCAATATTTAACCAAAGTGGAGAGAAATGTATTAGTGAAGTGACCTACTGGACCCCCCTTCATTAATATAGGTCACTGTAGATTATTAATTATATCAGTGTGCACGGTGTCTATTTCCAGGTCTTAATCCCAAGGCCTACCTTCCCTCCTCTTCCTTAGATTGTTACTTGGCTTATAAAGAGTTTAGTTCTACTTGAATAAAAGGGAATGGAAATAGATTCCTTGACAGCACTTTTACAAAACAAATTGCAGCTGCGCAAAGATTTTGCTTTGAAAGCATATAAAGGAAATCAGTATTTTTAAATGTCTTGATCAAACCATCCTATGAATCTGACTATCACGCAAGAGAAGGCAGTTTAGTGTGAAGACATGAAAGGTACATCTTTACTTCTCTTTGTGCTCACATCAGTTTTTTTGCGTGATCATTTTCCCAGTTTCACGACTGACTACAATGGTTACCATTTCTAGGCACTTCGTATATTTTTAGCTGAAACAGTAATTATTCCCTTAATGCTTGCTTTTGTCTAAGACAAGCCTTTCAAAATTGTAGTAAATTAGTTACTTCATTTTAAATTTGGTTAAACTACTATTCCCCTTCCATGCAACATCAAGGCCTCTGGGAGGCAGGGCAGATGACTTTCATTTTTATCAGTACTACTCATTTCTATTGGGTTAACTTCTCCCCTTTCTATTCTGTACCAAGGTTACAACCTTGTAGCCAAATGAACTTATTGTTCATAACAAACCCCAAAGGCTCAGCTGTAAAAAAGAACCCTATGTTAACTTCAAATATTGTATGAAATGACCCTGCAGCAGGCTCTCCTTTGAGAAGTAATAAAACATTTTATGAGTATTAATTTGAAAAAATAAACTCATTCAATCCTCAGGCTCATTTTGTTCATATTCTCAGTTTTTAAAATCCTTTTTCCTCTAACTATTCAACCAACTCTGGTTAATATCAGGGACAAAGAAAATTTATGAAGTATTTTCCTTATGAGCTATGTAAACATATTCAAGGACTCAAATTTTCAGGTACCGTCTACTTGATAATGGGTACTAATGTCAAATAGAAAAGTTAATAGCTAAATAAAAATGACTAAATATTAACATTCACAGACTAAAAGTTCTATGACAAACTTTTTCTTTGGACTTTCTTCAGGAACTAAGATTTAGGATAACCACAAATACACAAGTATTTTTATCATATATGTAAACAGAGAAAAATCTTTTAAGGTAAAAATTGGGAGAAAAATGATTAAAAATAGAAAAGCAGGAATGTTAATACATGTAATTTCACTTACCTTGCAAGTTTTCTACCCATTTTGTTAGAACCACTGACCTTTACCAAAGTGCCATACATTAGTTATATCATACTGTATTAGGTAGAATATGCTAATATAAAGATATCCTGTAACAAAGACCTGGAAAAAAAAGTGGCTTAGGCAAGATTGATATTAATTTCTGTCTTGTAAAACAATCTGGAGGTAGGCAGTCCAGGCTGGTTATGGTAGTAGCACTTCAACAAAATTACACAGCAACCCAGGATCCTTCCGTGTGGTTCTCTTCCACAGTAGAGCGCTGCCTCTTCTCTAGAGTCCAGGCTGCCTCACTACCAGATCCACTTCCAAGTAACAAGATTGAGAAAGGGCAAAAAAAACAGTCACACCATTTTGAAGGACACATATTTCCGCTCACAGTTCACCAACCAGAACAGTCATACTTTCGAGAGACTGACAAAGGTAGTCTTTGTTCCAGGAGAATGTCTGTGCCTAACTGAAAACCAAAGGTTCTATCACTAGATGAAAAGGAAAGAATGGATACCGCGGGGAAACTGGTCTTCTCTGGACATAGCTCATTTAGATGCTTGCATAATTAGAAATTCAAACTTGAAAATGGTTCTACTGGGAATATGCCAGGATTTACTAGCTGACAAATACCTACTATGCTGGGTTTACTTTTCTAAAGGATTAGTTTACTTCCTTCCTTCACTCACCAAAAGCAATACAATACAAAACACTATCTCCGAATGAGTTCCAAGGTATGTTTTATTGGTATAAAACCAAAATAAGGTGATGTAATTGTCTGGTCTGCCAATTAGCTACCCAGAACTAGGTGAAAATGATTTTCTCTTGTAATTTTTTTACTGACGGAAAAGGAAAAATTTTTTTTATGAAATAATACTGATTCGTCTTGGCAATTTATTTGACTCAGCAACTGCAGAGTACTAAAACAAAAATAGTTAATTTTTATCAAATAAGTAAAAAGTCGGTAATAATTTTGTTACAGCTTCTGAAAAAACTGGTAAAATTATAAAGCAGAGAAAGATTTCTCAAGCCATCTGTGTATTTTTCTCCTTTATTAAGGGAGAAAAAAAAGTCTTCATGATTCTGCCAAAAGATCCTCTAACAATGCAGAAGTAGTCATGGAATGTCTTAAACCTCCATCCTATTGATGAATCTTCTTTCAATCTTCCTATGCAGGAGACTATTTAAAGTCACATTACACAGCAGCTACTGTGCAATAATAATCTGATGCAATATAGCCATGATCAGTTTGCTTGTACCTGATGCAAAAGCTCTCAACTCTAGGCCTGCATTATGATATGTAAAAAAGTTGTCCTCCATCTAATATCTTAAAAACTACCCCCAGTGTAATCATTAGAGCATCAAAGCTACAAAACAGATCCATATAAAGTTATTTTTGTTTAAAATACACATATCCCAAGTTTCCATTTTCTGGAAAAGGCAGAGCCCAAAAGTTACACTGCAAAAGCCACTTTGCAGGTGGCTTTATTTAGTTGACCCAAGATGAATCAGTGCCATTATTGTTGTATAGCTATGAAACAGATCATCATCCTTTACTTCATTACATTTCTTCAATATAAAGTTCCCAGTGACTATGCGATCACAGCCAATTTCTCCATTTCCAAAGAAGCCAAATAAAGGAACACTAGGAAAAAACTTTCTAAATGCATCAGCCTCAACATTCCCCTTGGCTCTGTAATACTGAAAGCCCCTGCCAACGCATGCAAACATGAAGCCAATGGTGTTCTGTTCTGGAATATTGGCTGCTTTGAGGCGCTGCATCGCAGCCTCAGCAGTCTTCTCATCATTGACATCCTCGTTGAGAAGCACTGTGGCGCTCTGAATTCGGTGTCCGCTAAATGACAGTCCAACCACACCTGTGGCATCAATATCCAGAGGGTTCTTTTCAGAGGTCAGCGATGCCAGGTTGTCCACCTGGCCTCCAGCCAAGATGACATTCATATCACTGAAAGTGCTTACGACTCGCTGCAGATAATTACTGGCTCCCGCCTTACAGCAATTATAGCCAAATACAAGGACCACACGAAGCTCAGGGTTATCTAAAAGACCTACTTCAGTGAGTTGATGTCTTTCTAATGTTAAATTCTTTGGATCCTTAATAAAATGAAAAGGTTGTATTTTCACTCCTTCAATTTGAGGGAATAACAGAGCAAAACCAGATTCTCCAATTTCAATTTCCTGAGGTCGATTGCTACATGATCCCATTGGAGTCACTTGGCATAGTGGTTAAGTTTGGCACACTCCGCTTTGGCAACCCACACCGTCAGGGAAACCCACATATAAAAAGTGGAGGAAGACTGGCACAGATGTTAGCTCAGGGCTAATCTACAATTCCTGGGGTCACAATCCCAAGGACTTCGCATTGTTTTGGGAATAGCTTCTCAAGGGCAAATGCTGTTTCCATGGTAGTTCTTTTCCTTGCTCTCTTGTGGCCACGACACTCTTCCAGACTAATAAAAGTTTCTGAATCAGCCATGTAAAGAACTGTCCGTGGTAAGATGTGAACATTCTCAAGCTCCTCTGCCGCCGCACGGACCAAGCAATGCTGCTCCAGGCGGCCAGCCGCCGCGGAGCCCGCAGATATCCAGGTCACACGCCGATGGGTCCGCAACACTCTGCGCGCACACTCCCCCCACAAGCGGCACACGCGGTCCGGGCAAGGCAGTACCGCAGCTCCGCGGGAACAGGTTCTGTAGGGCAATTACTTTTTGTCATATGAAAAAAAAGAGAGTGAGTGTGTGTGTGTGTGTGTGTGTGTGTGTGTGTGTGCGCGCGTGCGTGCGCATGGTGACTGGGGAAGGATTAACTGATGAGCATATGGATTATTGCCTTTGCTGAAGTGGAGTATTGATTGTCATGGATGGCTGAAGATCACATTCTGTTGAAGAGATAAAATAGCTAGGCAATTTCTTTCAGAGTTAAACAAAGACATTTGCCATCACAGAGTCCAAGATTGGGTCTTAAATTCATTAACATATTACAAAACCCTTAACTTGCTGACAATTTGTGTCTGGCATTTTGTCTGGAAATGGAACGAGATGGTTCAGGAAAGAGCTACATAGGAAGGTGTGAAAAAAAAATCAGCCCTGACATCCAGGAGTTGGTCTGGCACTCACAGCTGATCTTGTTCTCTGGTTGAATATATAACATTTCACAGAACACTAACATCAGGTAAGTGAGCAAAAGTGAGGCCATCTTGTTTTGCCAAATGGCCCCAGCCCCTCCTCTGTGTGACTATTTGCTGCTCTGCAAGTACTTTAAAAAATTCGCATGCTCTCCTGATTTATGGCCTCCACTCACGTACGTACTCCCTGATACCTTGATAAATTAAAACTTTCTTCTGTGAGTTTCTCTCCAGGAACAGGCTGACCACAAGTGGGAAACACACCTACATCGTATCCATCACAGCTGACAGAATAGAACAATGTGATGCCTGGAGCCCATGATGCATGGAGACCAACATCCCTGGGCCCCCTCCTCATTGCCCATTTTCCCTATATAACTGCTTCAAGATTTTGTAAACCTTGAAGATGGGTTTTTGAGACATTAGTCACCCATCTTCCGATTAGCCGGTTCATCTAATTAAACTTCCTTTCTCAATCTCTAATTCGTGGTGATTAATTGGCTCAGATTGCAGTGAGCAGAGCAAGCACATTGCTTGGTATCAATCAGACAACGCCATTCTATGACCATGATGGATCAAGATGAAGACCAGGCCACTCTGTTATTATGCCTGCACAGCGACTAAACATGAATGTTGCCCAAACCATGAAAATGACCAAACTTCCTCCTATCCTGGCTAATAGGAGTGAGTGCTGCTTCCTTACCAATCCTAGCTTTAGTTTACCCTCATTTCTCTCAGATTTATTAAGATGTCAAATCACAGAACTACCTTTGTTTCCTGATGGCATCCAGTCCAGAGCAAGGCCCTGTTTCCTTGAATTCTCCTCAAAATCACCTAATGCAAGCCCAAATCCTACCATAAGTGCTTTCTAACGTATTTTGCAGAGATGCCCCACAGTTCTCCCTCAATGAAATGAGTAACAGACTGAACTTATTCACCTACACGTGTGTTCCTCACACTCTTTGGCTGGAGGACATTGACAGGGGAATAGGTCATCTTCTATAAGAGTGATTTCAGGGGACCATACAAGGGTTCCTGCCCTGACACTATTTCACCTGCCTACCTTCCACAAGCAGTATCAGAAATTCCACCAGGAGAATGTTAGTCCTTTGGGTCAACACTTTAATAATTACCTATTAAAGCAGAAATGCTCTTACAGAGGAGAACGACCTCTAAAACACTCTCAATCATAGATGTTTGACTTTGAGCAATCCACTTTCATATTTCATTTGTTCTTTAGATTCACTCACACTTTGGCCCTCTGAAATTAGGACACATCCTATGACCCATAGCATCTTACATTTTTTGAAACATAGTGATGCTTCTGAGCTTCAGTTTCCTCAACTGAGAGATCTAGTGGTGGGTTAAATACTATTTTCCAATCCTCAGTTATTTGCAAACAACTCTCACAATTTTTGCTATATGCATCTGCTACAGTAAGATATTCATATGCTATTTGCCTTTTTAGCAACTCACTTTTGAAATTTAAGTAAATGTAGCTTTCTCCTCATAATAATATCCTGGGCAAGATATGCTAATTATAGCTTTCCCTAAAACTTGTTAAAATATAAACACAACTATATAAAAATTTTAAAATGGTTGTTCATGTTCCACCTAAAAATCATCTTACTTATACCCCAGAGGGAGCTGCGCCACGCTTAGAAAACACTGGACTAGCTGATCCCTGGGTGTCTTCCTAGCTCCTATGTTTGGTGTTTCTGTGGTACAGTCTGTCCCCCAATGTTTACAGTCTAAGGGTCAAGACTGACATAAACAACTCAAAGAAAAGCATACAATCATGCGTATTTTGAAACACAAAAATAGATCCTATTAACTCTGTGGCTTTTAAGTAAGGATAATTGTGTTGGAGTCACCGGAGCTTAAAGATTAGTTAGCTTTATGTTGGCAGAAAGCATCAGATCTCTTGATACTTGGAAACACACACGAAGGATTTCAGATGTGATGTTTGCTTTGAGATTTGGTTTGGGAAATAACGGAAGCAGATTTGGTTTGAGTAGTCTGGCAAAGCCTCTTAGAGGACGAAAGAGTTTAGAAATTACACAATCTCTTCCCTTTATTCCCACCAGCCAGAGGTCCTCTAAGCCCTTGCCACTCAAAGTATGTTTGGTGGATATTGGCAAGGCCTGGGAGCTTGTTAGAAATGCAGGTTCTCAGGTCCCACCTGCAGCCCGGTTGAATCCGAATCTACGTTTTTCCTGATTCCAGGTGATTCGTGTGCATGTTAAAGTTTGAGAAGCGCTGCTCTAAACCACCAGAGCTCACCTTAGCCACTGCTCATCTACAAATGGTCCTTCAAGGACATACCCCAGGTCAGATAGCAAGGGCACTAGAGGTCCCTGATAGATTAAATACATCAGATTCATGTGTTTCCTTGCCACCATCTTTGAGGGACACCACATCACACAGACCACTTAGGAAGTGAACACTTATTTTATTTAGGGGAAAAAATAAACATCAGTTTAAACTAAAATCAAAACCCCAAGCCATAACTTGTGGTCCTTCAGCTGACTGAGGCTGAGACTAAGATTAAAATAACTCTCATTTTCTTCCTTCTTCCGCCCATCGCCACCGTCCCACACACCTGCACTCGCTGGGGCAGAAACACGTGTCCTCCATTGTAAACTGGCCAGCTTCAGTGTGAACACCTAAAGTGGTAAAGATCCATGTAAAGGAAAGTATTTAGGAGTGAATTTGTTCACATGCAAAAGAAAATGTCGTTTTTTACATGGAGAAGGCATGGGCATTTCTATGAGAAAACATTTTCCCTGGAAAGCATTAGCCCAGAGGACTCCTTTATTGCTCTCAGGACCCCTGTTCCTTCCTTCATTCATTTCGGCAATACTCAATGGGTATTTGTTGAATGAATGAATGAAATCACTTCCTCTCATGAGCAACAGCCTAGAAAGCCTTGTTTTCCCCTCAGCCCCTGTGGAAACTCTGGATTTTTGCCAAAGCTGTTTGATAGCACGTTTGCTGCCATCATATCAACAGAATAACATCAAAAGCGTTTTTAAAATTTCCAGTAACTAAGCAGAAATTGATTAAGAAGGCCAAAGGAAATAAGCCAATCGGAAGACAGAGAAACAGCCAATGGCTGCACATAACCATGGAGACTCTGCCTTTTTAAGTGAGCCGCACTCTAATATTTAGATATGAGAGAAAATTGTTTTATTTTTAGTGTACTGAAATTCTTTATTCCTAGGCTTCCATTCTGAACTCAGAATATTGAGTTCAGAATACCAGCCTCCAATATTGCCACTGTTTTATTTCTGTGTCATTTTTCAGCAGCATATTCAAAATTTTTCCCAACTAGCCTCTCAACATTTGCTGTTGGGGATGATGAAATGTTATTGTTAAAATAATATCTCATGTAATTATATATAATAAGGGACTTTGATACATCCATATGAGTAAGAGTAAAGTCATTTATTTGAGTTTAAGGGTCCTTCAATATGGACATTCTGACAAACGCATTTCAAACCCTAAATATTAATGTGTTTTTATTTTATCCAGATACTTCCAGGCAAAGAGGAAGAGTGGAAAGGAGTGGCCAATTCTGTGCCAAACACTCTGCTGGGAGCTTGGTGAAAAATAAAGGTGGACAAAATATTATAATGAAAGATATTACATATGACCTACTATGTGCCAGGTATTGTTTCAGATTCTAAGTGTCAAAGGCAGAAATTCTACATAGTGGTTTTCAATCATCACTGTACAGTAGCATCACCTGAAGTCTTTAAAAATATAAATTAATACCAAGACCCCATTCCCAGAAATTCTGATTTAATTACTTGAGGTGGGCCTGGGACATCAGGGTTTTTTAAAAACTCCCTAGGTGATCTGCCTGTGGGCCAAGGTTGAAAACCACTGCTTTGAAACATGTGTATTAAGTATTATATTAATATCATCCATATGTAAGTCAGAGTGGTGAATTTATTGAGATTTCAGTGTAAATAATAGATAGAACACATCTTTCTTTATGATTCTGGAGAACACAGGCCAGGTCTTTTATTTCCAGTACGTATCACAGTCTATAATCAATAAATGTGTGTGGAGGATCTTAATAATGATGACTGTGCGACTTCTTGAAGTCGTGCTCATACTGCCTGGCCCACCTCAAGCACTTAATACACGTTTATTAAATGAAAAAGAGGGCTTCAATTAATGACACAATGATGATGAGGTGACACAGGACCATATCGCTTCCTTGAAACAAGGAAGACATAGAAACTGTGCCAGCTCCTCTCTTCCTGGCTCTATGGAACTTTACTACCCATCTCCTCAGCTGCAAAGGACTAGCAGGAGCCGTTTGCCACAGATGGACCAGAGAGCCCTGAGCCCATCTCTGGGGCAGCTGTGGAGGTCTTTGGACTCCCCCCCCCCCCCCCCGCCCCTGCTGCATCTGAGGCTCCTCATTGCCAGGGTCAAGTTGTGATCAGGCTAGGAAATTAGGTAGGGAGTGCCTTCAGTGGGGGCATCAGGCATGACATAGCACCATGGGAGAAGAAACAGTCCATGAACCTTGGTAGCCAGTGACTGAATTCTGCTGTGAGAGTATCTCCTTTATTTTCTCACTTTTAGTTAAACATTTCCCTTTCATAAATTCTTCCCTCTTTGATGTGACTGACTACAGCAGGACTGAGCTCTCAGGCACTGAATGAGATTCATAAGATCGAGGGATATTATGAATGTGTACATGTGTCTATAAGTTGTGTTTAACATCACTTTCTATGAAAGAATTCCTTTAACAATTGGTGATGCCAGAATTTATGTAGCATATCTTGCTGTCTTGGTACATACTGTACAAGATGTATTACATTGTGTTCTTACCATGGGAGCATCCCGCTATGTTAAAACATGTTGTTACAGAGATTTAGACATATTGGGAATCAAACTGTTTCATGAAGACCTATAATACTACAAAAGACATGTTCCAACATTGTCAGCCATTTTGGTGGATGTTAGTCTCTTCCCCAAATACCAGTATGATAAAGAACTCTCCACTATTTGACAATAACATATGCATCTGGCATGTGAGGTTCTATGTAGGATATTCTACAAGGAAGTCACATGTTGCAGCACCAGCCATTGCAAATGTAGAGTTCCCAAGTGTCTCCCCTGGAAAGATACTAGTTCAAATGGAAGCATCTACTGTTTCTTAAACAGATATGCAAAGAGCAACCACTGGGGATATGCAGAAAGGCAGCAGGAAATTCCTCAGAATTCTGGGAGCCCCAATAGACACAGGTCTGTTCCATGATACCACCTGCAAAGGAGGACGTTGGCAGGAAGAGGGTTCACTTTTGTACGATGGCATAATTGTAGGAGAGGGATTCTATGAACAAATTAGACAACCTCTTCTTCAGCTCTTGCCTCCTCACTTGGTCCATCTGTCACTAATGCTCTTACCCAAACCTTCACTTTGTCTTCTTGATTACACTTAAAAATGCACACACACAAAAAAAGGAAGAAGGAAAAAAAGGAACCTGATTTCCAGAATGAAGAGGTAGGAATATTACTTCATTTTCCTAACTCAAAACTTTCCTGGGATTTTGTTTATAAGAGAATGACTACATTGTCCATAGTTTGATCTTATTTCCTTTCACATTTCTTCAATTTCTTAGTTTCTTTATTGAAAGGAAATTATTGCAGCCACCTAGGGAAATATGTTTGAGAATTAGAGCTGGACACAAGAGGGGAGGTAATAGTTTGCTGGAGCTGCTATAACAAAGTACCACAGACTAGGTGGCTTAAACAACAGACATTTATTGTTTCACGGTTCTGGAGGCTGGAAGTCCAAGATCAAGGTGTTGGCAGGGTTGCTTCCTTCTAAGGGCTGTGAAGAGGAATCTGTTCCATGCCTCTCTCCTGGTTTCTGGTGATTTGCTGACAATCTTTGGTGTTCTTTGGCTTGTAGAAGCATCACCCCAATCTCTGCCCTCATTCTCACATGGGCTTCTCCCTGTGTGTGTGTGTGCCTCCAAATTTCCCCTTTTTATTAGGATATCAGTCATATTAGATTAGAGCACACGTTAATGACCTCATTTTAACTTGATTACCTCTGTAAAAACCCTATCACCAAAGAAGGTTTCATTCTGAAGTACCGGGGGTTAGGACTTCAAATCTAGGGGAACATAATTCAACCCTTAATAGAGGATCACTTTTTCTGTGTTGTGCATGGCTGTACTGGGCTACGTCTCGCTTCCTCAATGGCAGAATTGACTAGACAATGGGTGGTTCTTCCCAGTTTCATCCTGCTGTTTGACCACATGACATTTGTCTCTCTTGGTATCATCCTTCAAAAGAAATAGTCATTACTGGAGAGAGTGAAAATAGTGACTGGGTTTCAAAGAACCTGTCCGTCATCCTTATGTGAAAACAAAAACTCGCTCATACTCTGCACATCCTTGTTCCTGTCCCTCCTCATCCCTCCCTACTCCCTACCCCTTCTCCCAGGCTGTAACCCCATCTGATATTTTCTTTGACCCTCCTCAGTAGTCACTCTGGCTTCAGTGACTACCTGCTGCTTTGCAGAAAGCCAAAGCAACAGCTTATCTAGGTCTCTTTCTCAAATAGCAGAAATGCTGAGCCTTCCTGCTGGGACCCTTTGTCTCTCTCAGCCATTACCACAGAGGAAGACAATCACTGACCCACTGACCAGAGATCAGCAATAGGCTTATCTGTGAGTAAAGGGGTCAGTGGGATGAGCTGAAAATGCCACACCTGGGGGGAAAATGAGTTTAGATGAGACAGAAAATAAATGGAAGAGTCCACGTAGCCATCCAGAAAATTCTGCTTGAAATTTTTGCCCATCAGGTTTCTTGTCAGTCTCCTTGCTACAGAGAGAGCATACCCCTTAGCCAGCCCTCAGGCTTAGGGAACAAAGCTGCAAAGCTGAGGGGTGGTCTAGGTGGTTCTGTTTTTGTTTTTGTTTTCCCAATGGAAAAGCCAGCACTTTGCTCACAATAAAACCATTTACAGAATTTGTGTTCTCCTGATGCTCTGACAGCAACCAAAACCAAAGGTACTTTTGCCTCAGGGAAACTTGGAAACTAACTGAGTTAATACAGAGACTGGGAAAAGTTTATTGAAAATCATCTCCCAATACATCTGGGTGTTACAGCTTCCAGAAGGATGATTACTAGGGGAGTCAGAGAGACTAAGAAGAGACAGAAGAGGGAAAACACATTTTGTCTGAGAAGATATCGGAAAAGGCATGACCTGGGTGTGTTGGAAAGAGCATCCATTTTGGAGTAAAAACACCTCTTAGCAGATGACTCAACCTCTCTGAACCTCAACATTTGCCTTTTAAACTTGCCAAATGGGGAAAATAATCCCTGCCTCAGGGGTAAATATGAAGTGAGATAATACAGAATTACAATATTTTTGCCTCTACAGGTCACTTGGAGGCAAATTCTCCTGCCCATTTCCATAAAAGTATCTCAATATAGTCCTGACTCTAAGGCAGGAAAGGACTGGGCAGGAAAATGAGGGACAATCAACGCAAGAAAAGGAAGTAGCAGCTTAATGCTGAAGCGGCTCTCCGTGTGCAGACTTCCCTGCAGGGCACCTCTTACTCCGCTGCATCAGATTGGCCAAAGTGAGGCTGAGATGACATGCACGTCTCCAACGGAGGCTGCCCTGG